AATGTGGAAAAGACGGACTGTCAGCTCAAATAGTGGACACCTAGCAACCCTAAAAGAGAAAGATGGCCAAAAACCAGGATGGCCTATGATGCTGTAGAATGGTGAGAAACAGGTAAGGTAGGATTGTTTAATTATGAAATTACTTTTTTAAAATCATTTATTTTAGCTCGCTTTTACCACTATCAATTTCTATACCAATAACAGTTTTTTGTGGTCTGTCAATCACTGGGCTCTACTTAAAAAAAAAGGTTCTTACAAAAATCTTTGAAAAATCGTTCCTTTCCTTCGGATTTGCCGGACACTCAGAGAGGATGCTAGAGAATCAATTTTTTTGCGGGATAGGTTATTGGTTTTTTATGGCTTTGGTGGTACGGTACTTATTTTATTGAGGCGGTAAAAGTAAGATTATTTTGTTAGAAGTTACGTGGGGAAGATAGGTTATTTTATTTCAGGTTGAGGATTTTTAAGTTTCTTTAACTGAGCGGACTATTTTGCTGATGATGGACGGGTTGCTTTTTTGAAGTGGGCTTTTTTTAGTATTTTCGGTAACGTGTGTAGTCCATAGGAATTTTTGGTAAATAGTCAGTTCTAAGTATTTAACGTCTTTTGTCCATGGAATGTCGATGGTTTACGTAAAGGTGGTTCGAAGATGAGGGGGTGCGTCTATTTTGCCATATGAAGATGATTGCTGATGATAATATAGTTGTCATTGGCCCAGTTTATCAGTTGTTGTACAGTACGTCGCAGTCTGTCATATGCTCTTTTTTGTCTTTGCCACATAAGCCATTTCGTCTAAAGCCGGACATTTATTACTGACATAGTTTATCAATATTGTCGATATGAGTTAAATCCTTCTCAACACATGTAGGTAATACAATAAACAATTATGTAGGCATATTTCTAAATTTTCATAAACACCACAACTTAAACATTAAATGCCTCCGATCAAGAAAATTGAGAGTTACATCACTTCCGTCGTAAGTAGCTCGGCTACTTACTCGGCTACAACTATTTTAGTGAGTATCAGCTATTTACAACATCTGCAGTGAAGTGTGACTGAAGTCGTCACTTGGAGTGAATAAAAACCTATTTCACTTCTACGTATTCGTGTCTACCTTGGTTGCGTCGGGGATGAATATTTGGTGTACAGTGGAAAAAAAAGTGAACACAAACAAATGCGCTAGGATGGTCACGCCAATTGCTGGCGCGCTTTCGTTTTATTCAG